CAACCCCATCCTCTCCTCAACCCCCCCATCCTCCCATCCTCTCCATCCCATGCTCCCCTCTCTTGACCACCCCCGACAGTAATCTCTGCAGCATTCCGGATCCCGACGAAGGATATTGAAAAGAACGAAGAAAAATATTTAGTCCACTGGGACCCCGACAGCCGGCTTTACCTGGTCCAATTTCTGCTACGAGACCGAGTAACATAGACATTGACGGAAGAGGTGGGACGGAACAGGTGGACGCAGCAAGTGGATATAACAAGAGGACATCAGTAGATGGATACACCGGGAAAAATGCCCGAAACGTCGGGACGCGACCGAAGAGATGAACCCCGGGCCGTGGAACGCAGCGGTAAGGGTGGCGGTGGGCCTGGGGAGGGTTTGGTCGAGTTGCGGTCTGCCGTGTTGCGCAGCATGAGTCATCAGGAAGCGAACGGGGTTTTGCGCATGGAGAAGGCAGCTGCTAAAATCAATTGGATACCGTACATGTCTGTGTTGAAGGACTACCACGCTAAGTAAGTATGGATGTCGAACCGTGCGGGGAACCGTGCGGGATTGTGGGTCAAACGAAACGGGAGAGGGGAATGACATAACAAGTGAACAAAATGCGTTTTTCAGCGCTCTGGAGAAGAACAATATAAAATCTAGTAACTAGCCGCCATGGTGGCTAGGGACGAGACGTTGTCGAGAAGGATGAGATTCTCGACGACCTCCTGTGGTGAAATCAAGTTAGTGATGGGTACCCAGCCAACGGAAGTGCGGTCATCCCAGTCGTCCAGTTTGCGCACCTCAACCCACCCGGAGTCGGGCGAGAGACGCAGGACCCAGACGCGTTCTCCCTTGACCACGTCCAGGAATCGGGCGCCCGACCTCGTTGGGTCGCGGGGCTGCCAGTAGTGCCGCCAGTCCCACTGGACCATACAAACAGTTTGCGGTCGCACGTTCGCCGTCAGCTGAAACACCACAAACGTTAACGCAATCAGACACACGGCACGAGCATGACTAGCGGGCGGGGGGCAAGGGGGGTGATACTGGGGGGCAGGAGACAGAAGAGACTGGGGGGCAGGGGAGCGGGGCTGAATTACTGAGTTAAGCATCCACTCGACGTTAGCGTGTGTGATGAGTGCCTCTGACTTGTCGAGGACGGAGATGCGGTCGAGAAGTGTCTGTTCCTCAGCGGCGCAGGTCCT